CTACACATCTTAACTTAATATTCTAGAATTTTCTTATTTCGAGTGATTTATCTTCTGATATTTTCATGTACGTTTATGTATAAATTATAATATATAAAAATGCGATAAATAATAGAGCAGCACTCACTTACAACTTTTTCATATCACTTTTTGTGAGAGCAAAACCATTCGACTAACTCTTTTTATTATATATTTGTAAAGCTTTTATATAACTCTAATTTTTTACTTAAATTCGTTACATGTCCAATTTAAAGATTATGCAGTACTATTGTGGATGGCTGATTTTTTTTTTTTTAAAATAAAATTTCCTCGAATTCCAAACTTCGTGAGAGCAAAACCATTTGACTAACTCCCTCATGAGTATGAGTATGATGACTCGAAACCAATTTTTGTCAAGTTTATTTTTTTGTAGTGTGCATTTGATAATGTAAAAGTGAAAAAGTTGATGCAATCAAAAAGGATATAAATGGTGCTTTAAAAAACATGTAACTCTGCATTAGTTTGTACACAATAATATTTCATATATAATGTGTATGGGTCAACTGCCAATATAACATTAGAATTTTGTCTTCATATAATTAATCAAAAGACTACACCCACCATTAAAATGCCAATGGTAACATCCAGGTTTCACCAAATAAGATGTTGTCCGTTTATTGTCCTCCTAGTTATATTTTTGAGCTTCTCAACTTAAAACATTGGCTTTAGGTATAATATAACATGTAAAAATGCATATTACATGTTTTACTTTTTTTGACTTAAAAATTTCAGGTTAATACATCCTTAGTCATATATTGTAGCAAAATCCCACAAAATCCTTAGTCATATATAAGTGAAGAAGTTAATGCAATCAAAGAGGATATAAATGTGTGTTTTGGCATGATTTAATGTGTCTTTTAATCATATAAACAGTTTCTACAATGAAAGAAAGTGTAATTAAAAAGTAAAAAAGTTAATCCAGATAATTTTTCTGTGACAAAAAAAAAAAAAAAAAAAATCACAATAAGTTTTGTATAATAAAACTTATATGTATAACGGTTTTCTTTATATTTGGTTCTTGATCAAGATTATTATAAACTAGTTGAAAGTCTCGCACATTGCGCAAGTCGCTTATGATATTGGTTTTAACAACACGATTGTTTAAATAATTGGATGTTTCAATTGGTTGATATCTATTATTGAGGTATATACATTGTATAGGTCTATCAAATTAAAGATTTTAATTATATATAGTTTTACATTATGATTTTATTGTGTGGTGTCATTTTTTAGCGTCATAATATCTAATGTTTTAGAATGATGTCACTCTATACATTAATTTAAATAACTTGTCATTTCTTTAGCTGGACGTAGGATTGTCGAATCCTTTCCATGTATTTCCATTTCCTCACTTATAAGTTTTTGGTATATTCACTTGACTTCGCCATATTATTTATACAGATACATATACAGATATATATACAGGTATACAGTATTATATTATTCACGTATTATCATTTAAGAGTTATTTGTTTTAAACACTGACACAAACATATGATGAATTGTTTTTTTTAATTTATTATTCTTGACTTTATTTTATAGTGTTATATTTGTATCTTTAATAATTTTTGGGTTATACATTGAAAGGTGATAAATACAATTTTTGAAGAAAGACCCACCCTTGGATAGCTCAAGTAGTAGGACGAATGCACTTATGTGTGGTTAAGGCTCTCCATCTCATATTCGAATCTCCCTAACTTCCAAGATTTAAGTGGGTGATCATAGCAGTGGGATGTTGTGTTAGTCACCTATAAGAATTTGGGATATTGTGCTAATCACTTACAAGGATTAGTCGAGATACGCATAAATCTTTATTTCAAATTTTTATTTTTTTAAAAGCTTTATGCACATTCTATTGTATTTAATTCAGTAATCAGGATATGTTATATTAGTATGAATACGAAGATCCAACGAAACACATTTATTTTTATCTCAACTACTTATGTTGAGATATCATATATAAATCAAATAAAAAATCACAATTTTTTTTTTTTTTTTTTTTTTTTTTTTTTTGTGGATGGAAATTAAGGGAAGTTGGTATGGTGTAGTAGTTGGACAAGGAAACTAAATTAAAAGGCTGGAAAATCCATGGGTCAAGGGGCCATGAGTTACTGTTTTTTTCCCCGAAGATTCAGAGTGGATAGGATTTTTTTGACGAGTACATTCTTCATCAATTAATAATAGTAATGAATTCGATTTCTGTCCTTATAGAAAGTAACAGAAAAATATTAAATATGTGTGGAACTACTTGTATACATATAGATAAAGATTGAAATATCTTTGAATAAATATTCTTGAAGTGTCTACTTTTGGAATAAGTTGAAAAGGATGTATTCTTGTCGTTAATATGTTTGCTCATTGTAACTATAGTCTCTCGAAAGAATTGATGATGACGACTACGAGTTGATGTATTTATTTCATCTCTACTGACTTCTTTTATGATTTTTAAACTAAATGAATCATAAAATAATACCTCTTATTTATGAGATGTACCAAGTCTTTCATAAGGGTGGTTGAAATGCATTCATGATTTGCAAATATTTAGTACACAATAATTAATTTTGACTTTAATCTGGAAATCAGAAGACAGAATGTAATACATGAAAATATGTACATAAGTTCAAAATTGTGTACATCGAATTAACTACTATTAGGTCTAACGTCTAAAGCGGACAGAACTCTTAAATGTTAGAATTCAATGCATGCATCTGACTCTTTTTATTATATATTTGTATAACTCTAATTTTTTACTTGAATTTGTTACACGTATAATTTAAAGATTATGCAGTACTACAGTAGATGAATGATTTTTTTTAATAAAATTTCCTCAAACTATTCCAAACTTTGTGAGAGCAAAACGATTTGATAAGTAGGGTTGAGAGGGCATAGGTCTTACGAAAGGAATTGCTGAAGATGGATCAATGAACGGTGCAATGCTCATGGGTAAACCACGTGCCACATCAGCGCATGTGTTGATGAAATGGATACCGGAATCAGCAACTCCAATTCCGAGACACGCTCCGCCACACTTGAAAAAGGTTAACTAACAAAAATACAATCAAATGGATCATCAAGTTCATCGATTTAATTATTTTTGTTTGCTGCGGCCAAGATTGGTGGTTGGGCTTAGTGTTTGGGTTGCCGTTGTTTTCTCCTCGGATTGATGATGGCTGGAGGGATGATAACTTGTTGGTAAATTTTCTACAGTTATTCTGTGATGAGTAATTATTTAGATAAAAAAACTTAGAATAATACTATACATACATCCTTTTTATACAATATTATGTGGCAAGATATGAATGGGTGAAAGTTTAATTTTAACTTTAAATTAACCAATAATATCCTGTCACACAATGTTGTATGAAAATGATGTATGTGTAGTATTACTAAAAAATTTAACTCTTATACCATGTTAGATTGTCATCTAACCTAAAAGTTTGGGATAATAACTTAACATGGTATCAAAACCAAAAGTCTCAAATTCAAATACCCACCTAGTGGAATTGGAAAAAAAAAAAAAATCAAGTTTGATGTAGGCATTCGAACTTGAAATCTTTAGCTCAAATACCATGTTTATTTGAAAGATTATATGATTCAATTGATTGATTTTTATTATAAAGTTACCAAATATCAAAAGCATCCTAAAACTGACAAAATTAAGAGATTACAAAATCGATCAGGAAATCATATTATTGTCAATCTTTTATTAAAAAAAATCAAATTATATTATGAAAATTACAATTTCATCACCCAAAACTTTTTTTTTTTTTTTTTTTGGGCTGCCTTCTCTCTGAAACTTTCATTTTATTTCTGTTAAATATAATTTTCTGAATAAATTATTTAATTTTGCTCTCCCTCATTCTTTAAACATTATACTTTAGTTCCCAAAAATAATATTTTGGTTCCGCCACTAAGAAAACGTATCATGTTTTGAAACCTAGAAAGGATTACATAACAGTTAAAATTATATCGTATATAATGAATTAGATCTTTATTTTATTCCATATATTAGACTTTATTTAATGGGTTTAAGATATGCGTAATGTATTAAAAGTAATTTAAAGTGCAAATGATTTGCTACTTTTCTGATTTTAATCGCTCTTCCGAGCAAAGACGATGTATAATACACACATTTTGTCTTGGAATTATATTGTAGTAAGAAAAATATCCATTGTTGTTGATGCAAAAATTCGTGCAAACGAAAAATACGGAAGATCTATAGTGAAATCTATGCAGGAATTTGGATTAAACCCATCTGCTATTGTATCAATGAATAAAATAAAAACACAAAAATAATACAAGAATAAGATTTTTAAAGTGATTCGGATATTTGGGTCAAATCCTATGTCTACTCCTTTTTATATTGTTTTCTTTATATACAAGTGCGATATGCCTAAGCTATAAATGAATCACCCTAATTATAGTAAAAAGTAGGCTTATATAGTGTTATAATGGTAGACTTATAGTGAAGTATGCCTTGGATAGAATGACTCATGGCATTGGTAAACTTACAAGCGAAGTAAAATTCAAGTGCAGCGAAACGAGCATAAGTGAAACTTATCCTTTAGAGACTTAGATTAAGAAAGTTTAATATAGAGTGATATATGGAGTCACATATGACAGTGAATCTATGGAGTGCAAGAGGGACATGTGTCGTGAATCCATACTGCATGGATTTACTGCACAACAACTGTAATAGAACTTGCGTGTTTGATTTATTTATAATCGAGCTTAGCCAATTTTTTTTCTCTTTAGATACAAATAATTAGCATGTAGGTGGTTTGTTAACATTATATGACATTTTTTGCTACAATTTCAATTACTCATAATTCATGGAAAATTATTCGCAAGACCGTAATCTAGATATATGGAAGATTTAATCTTGCTCGTTCATTGGTGGGTATCTACTTTTTAGTTGATCGTCAGACAACTGACGTGACATGCACATAAAACACTATACAATGGGTAAGTGATCTGATTACCAAACCAGCAACATTATCAAGGGTAAGATATTACCAATCCAGTAACTTTATCAAGGGTTGGATAATAAAATCGCATGTTTGGCTTATTATTTCTGTCCATATTCTCAATCCTATTCTCCAAATAATATTTGGCACATTATTTCGGAAATATTACCCTATTTTTTTAATTACTTTTAAATCCCATAAGGTTATTAATTTCACTAAATACACCCTAAAAAAAAGTTTAAAAATAAACAAAAACACCCCCATGACCCATACTTGCCAAATTTCGACAATCACCGTCGATGGTAGCCTGAATCTGCCACAATAGTGAATTACCGATCGAAACTTGCTGATAATTCACCGATCTGGCCTTTTCCAGCCAGATCTACAGTGGATCTAGCCGGAAAGGCCAGATCTGACCGTCAGCGACGGCCAAAGAAATGGCCATCGTTGACCAAAAACGATGGCCATACCTTTGACCATCGCTGACGACCAAAGATGGCCGTCATTTTGGCCTTTTTCGGCTGTCGACGGCCACAGCAAGCTGTAGATCTAGCCTTTTCCAGTCAAATCCATGGTGGATCTAACCAAAAAAGACCATAACGATGTGTTACGATACATATCCGACCGGTCTGTATCGTAACACGATTTTTTGGCTGTGGTGGCCGGAATCTAACACTGCAGGTGGTAGGGGTATTTTTGTCATTTTATATGTTGGGATGTTTAATTAAATTAGTAAATCTAGGGGGTTTTTTTATAAATTTTTAAATTTTACCTCATAATATTCCTCTATTTAACTATCCAATATTATTCCTAAAATCTTATCCAAAATAATAAACCAAACGCAAGATATTTGAGATTATTTATAAGTGGTATGGCATGACTCATGAGACACGTGGTTACCTATCACATAAAATCCCAAAACCAATATTTATTCTCATGCCCACTTTTATATCAATCATGACGTGTCTTCAAGCTTCATGACTCTTTCAATGAAAAGATATTCAAATTCATAGATGGGGGAAAGTACTACTTTTGCTTTAGTCCTGGCGTCTTTTTTGCGTCAGGTAATTACATATATAGAGCCTGACAATTACCTAATTAACGTGCTTGTCAGGTAAATGTATTGATTTTGTCTAATATTCTACTCATGGTTAATATTTTTCAGGTTTGGTGTACAGCTATAAGCTGCTGGAATATTCTGTAATGGCTGTCATTATAACATACCTCACTAGTTCTTCGGAGCAGATCAATCTCACGAAAGCATCAGTAATAGTGAATACCAAGGATCTAATATCAGCCACATCTGTGATCGTTTTGACTTTCATTTCCAATACGTTTATCGGTCGTCCCAAAGTCATCACTTGTTCAGCCATCTTCACTTCTGCTGTAAGTAATTTCACATTTAGTTTGAGTCGGAAACTGTAGCATTTCGTGATGCTCTGATACTGAAAAATGTTAGGGTCTATCCTTTAATAGTTTAAAATTTATATAATCGTTCTCTATGGTGTTTAGTCTAAATTATATATATTAAAGAAAGGAAGAAATAATAATTATTTTGTGTATTACCCTTTTTATATCATTCATTCCTTTCTTTTTTCTTTTTCTTGAAACTTTTTTTTTTTTTTTTGTTTAAATAAAAATCAATGGAACAAATGGATGCTAATTTTAAGTTCATTACCACATATGCTGGAGTGAATAAAATAAAAAATTGTTGTTGCAACTTGCATTGCAGGGATTGGTGATGTTATACTTCATAGCTCACGCTGAAGAGTCGGATGAAATCGAACGACGCATCTTATTCAAAATAATAGGAGTCTTCGTAACAGCAGTGGGTGAAGCTGGAGTAATGGCACTTTTAGGTGATTTTATTGCTGATCAATTAAGAGCCCGTGAACCAAAAACAAACAAAAATGAGGATCGAGTAGAGGCTCGGAAAACAGTTTGGTGGCGTGGTTCTTGGTGTTTTAGTGTGATTACCTCATTCCTAATACGCTATTACTCATGGGCAGATACTTTTTCATTCTCAGCAAAAGCGACGGTAATTACTCTCATCTTTTTCGTGGGGGGTACCGCTTGGCTTCATTATTGTGGAAAATCAGCTCCTGCTGGCAGCCATAATTATTATAGCCATGATGTCTACTTCTACCAATCGAGAAGGCCTAGGTAGACGGCATTCTTGACTGCTTTTCCATTTTTAATTTTATTATTATTATTTTTAACTCTTTGGGTCTAAGTGATATAAATATTTATCTTAAAATATCCGCGACCAGATGAGATAGAAATATTACATGTATTTAGGAAAAAATCTACTTTGTTTTACATATAAATATATTCCGTAATGCAGATTAACAGACCAAGCTAAGGTCAGGGAACCATCCACCCTCAGACCACAAGGACAAGATATGGAAGGCAGGCTTCACAGTGGGAAAATTTTTCTAAATATGATTCCTATGGGGAGTAGCTTCCTTGTGTATGGTTTGGTCGTATCAACAGAAGAAACTTTTTTCCCTGAGCAGGGAGACGAGATGCAGCTTTCAAGCTTCTTTACTATTTTATTTGTCTTTCAATCCGTATCAAGTAAAAGTATCTCCTATTTGTTTAGCTATTTTTTAGATTCAGAATGGGTTCCAGTAGACAAACGGAAACAAGCCAAATTAGTGAGAATTTGGTTTGGAATGGTGCTAACTATATTTTGTTGTTTTGTTGCCGAGCGGGTTGAGGTTCACCGGTTGATAGTAGTTAACAAGGAAGGATTCCTTGACAAGCCAGATCAAATTATACCAATGAGCATCTTCTGGCTTGCCCCACAGTACTGCCTGTTAGGTCTTACGAAAGGAATTGCTGAAGAAGGACTGGATGAATTCTTAATTGATAATTTCCCTATATCATGGAAGGGCTATGTATCAGCAATTACTAAGTTCGTGATTGGAATTGGAAATCTCCTAAGCATAATATCTGTTCATGCATATGGAAGTTTGTTTGCTGACACCCTGAACCGGAGTCGCCTGGATGAATACTACAAGAGGATAACAATTTTTAGCTTCGTCAATATGTGCTACTATTGGTGTATATATATCTTCTATACAAAGTATCACACAGCAAATGTAGTAGGAGATGACATTGTTCCAAAGCTATCAATTTTTCCATAATAGAAACCAAAGATTTTGACGTCCCTAAATTTGGGGTCTGACATTGTGTTTGCTGTAATGCTGGACTAGAATGAGATTATATTTAATTAAGCTAAAATTTTATCAACAAGCTAATTTTTTTAAATCAATTTAAATAAACAATTGAATAAATTATAAGATTTACTTCTAATTTTAAGTTTAATATTTATTTATATGTTTTTATAATATAAATTTTATTTAATTTTGAAATGTTAGATAAATTGTTTATCTATTTAAGTATCTAAAATCATTATAATCAAAATGCTTCTTCGGTACATATATGATAATCAAAATGATACATTTTACCATGACTTACTGTTTTCTTCCTAGAACATCCAGCGAATATAGGTTGATTAGTGTTTTATGACGAGTACATTCTTCAATTAATAATAGTAATGAATTCGATTTTTGTCCTTATATAAAGCAACAGAAAAATATTAAACAGTTAAGGAACTACTTGTATAAATATAAGACTGAAATTATCTTGGATAAGAGAAATATTTCTTCAAGTGTCAATTTTTGTAATAAGTTGAAAAAAGATGTGTTTCTCACAGTTGAAAAAAGTTGTAAATATAGTCTTCCAAAAACATTGGTGACTACAAAGTTTGATTATTTAATACTAGGGATCAAGATAGAATGCAATAAAATGAAGACAAAATGAGTAGAATAGTATCAGGTTTACTGATTAAAGAATCAATTTCCTGCATCATAAATGTTATTAAATATCAAAAGTTTCAAGTTTTTATCGCATACTACTCCATATAAAGTATTAAATATTAGTTTAAGAAAAACATAAACACTGAAAACTATAATTAATACAAATACACAAAGAAGTATTGTGACAACCAAAGAAGTATCGTGACAACCATTACTCTTTTATCTTCCTTTTATTACATAAACAATCCAAGCTTACAACATAAAACATTACTTAAATTTAGAACAAAGATGAAGATAAGAATCTTCATTTTGTCTATCCTCGCCTCGCTCTATTATTGCCATCCTTCTATGTCAAAATCATAAAACAACTTCTTAAAGAGCTCCATGTGGTGGGTCTCTAAACATAGGACAATGACAAACTCTTATACTATATGGGCCTGGTAAATATAAGTTGCCCCTTCAATGGGGAGACTAGCCCGGCCTACAATAGGGCGGCCCCATCCAAAATCTGCCTCATAAATGGGCATATGACTCCAACTAGTGATCTTTAGGTTAGGAGATTTGAAAGAGTGAGCCCTTTGGTATAGGTTGTGAGTCATCTCATCATGGTTTTGTTCCAAAAAGCAAGAGCTGATTTCAAGTATTCATCATCCCTCCTCTTCAATTCTTTATGAATTTTTTCTATAGTTGAAATCAATGGTTCTGATTGGATTTCACCTGAAAGGCAAATTAGAGAAGTTATAAATATTACATTACCAAGGTAACTGATGGGAGTAGAGGATTCAATCTTGATCGTCCATCTGTGGAATGTGTAATCGAGTCAGTTGATCATCAGCTAATCCACGTGTCTTGCACAAACAACGCCAAATATGGGCAGTTAGGATCTCATAAGTACTGCACTTAGCACCATAATCTTTTTTTAATCTTGCTTTAAGGGTATTGATTTGATCGCTTGATATTTTGAGGCTAGCAACGGAAGTAGAACGGACTACTGCACTTGTTTGCTTTAAGGGTATGATTTGATGCGTTGATATGTTTGCATCTAGAACTATTTCACACACAGTAGGTGGATTCAGAGGTATTGTCACATCATTTGTCGCAAAGGTAATTCTGTGGATTGAATATCCTGTATTACATGAGCGACCAAACTCTCGTTTCCTAACGATGTAAGACTTTGACAACAACCATTTAAAAACACCAGTTTGTATAGATTGCTTTATCAATAATACTATACTTACAAAGAATTTTATAAAAATTTCCATACAAAGTGAAGTGGCAAAAAATGAATGGAAGAGTGAAACAAAAAGTCAAACTCATTAAATTCACCTCCATTTATTTTGTCACATCATTTTGTATAGAAATCTTTGTAAATGTAGTATGACTCTTAGTTTATATATGTAGTCTATTCTTTTTACAAATCTAATTTTCATATCAACTAAAAATTTCTTCTAATTCTTGTTTATATAAGTATGCTACACATCTTAACTTAATATTCTAGAATTTTCTTATTCGAGTGATTTATCTTCTGTATTTTCATGTAACGTTTATGTATAAATTATAATATATAAAAATGCGATAAATAATAGAGCAGCACTCACTTACAACTTTTTCATATAACTTTGGTGTGTTAGTTCATGATTGGTCAGCTGTGTGAGTCTTATTTACCCAAATGCAAACTGAACAATCATGAGTTACTACCTTAAGGTGTATGAGAAAGTTGTAAGTATAATTTTATTGTAAATGATACGATAATACCACATGAGACTGTAAGATAACCGTAACGTACGTACCTGTATTACAAGGAGTGGACAAGAAGGAAATGGTTAAAAGATTCAGTTTTTGGAACAAGTTGAGAAATCTTGAAGCTTGGGTGAAATCTCCCAAATCATCAAGAACGCAATTGTTTGAGCCTCAAAGAACAAAATCCCTCTTCATTACAATCAATCTCCAGCCTCCCATTTTCATCCCTTGTAATCTTCCTGCAATCGGATAAAACGCCACGAGAACTTTGCTCAAAGCCTCCTTAACGACCTCAGCTTCAAAGAAACTTGAAATCTTCACCATTTGATTCTGGTCGCCGGTAAAAATGAACGGTTGGAACATGGCCAGTCATCGTCAAACTGTCCATGACCGACATTTTTAGCCGATGCTTGGGGGTTTCTTGAGCAGGATGATAATTGTTGACTCCTTTACTTGAATCTCCCTCTTCAAGTGAAAGTGGGATTTCACTGCAAGTTGATTATATGGGATATTTACAGGCCATGGATATGTTATCCATTGAGAGACTTTTTCAAAAAAAAATAAAAATAAATAAAAGAATATTGTCGTCTTTAAAAAAATAAAATCAAATTATATATATGAAAATTACGATTTCATCACCAAAACCCTTTTTTATTTTTTAGTACTTTGGGTGCTTTGTCTATGAAACTTTCATTTTATCTCTGTTAAATATAATTTCCTGAATAAATTATTTAATTTTTGTTTTCCCTCCATTCTTTAAACATTATACTTTAGTACCAAAAATAATAATTTGGTTCCGCTACTAAAAAACATATCATGTTTTGAAACCTATAAAAAAAAGGGGTTGAAACCCATAAGAAAAGGGTGACATAACAGTTATATTATAACATATATAATGAATTAAATGTATTCTATATATTAGACTTTATTTAATGGGTTTAAGTTACATTTTACATATATAATTAATGAGGGTTATCTTCGACCGGTAAGGTCTATTATATGACTTTTTTATGATTTTTAACCTAAATGAATCATAAAATAATGCCTCTTATTTATGAGAAGTACAAGGTTTCATAAGGGTGGTTGAAATGCGTTCATGATTGCAAATTATTTAATTCAAAATAATTAATTATGACTTTAATTTGAATAGTAAGAAGTGAGTAAAAATGTAATAAATGATGATTATTAGGTCTAAAGAGGACAGAATCTTAAAATCTAGGGTAATTAAAATCAATCCAGGTACCTGAAACTAGAATTGGAATTGAAACCTATGTTTCAGGTTCCGATTCCATGTTTAAGGAATTAAAACTGGCTAGTGTTGGTTCCAAATCTTAGAAACCAACTGGTTCCGTTCCGATTCTATTCTTCAAAAAAAAATATAATATATATAATAGTATCAGAAATACTTATCCCTATTCATAAGTATGGGTAGGAGACTCAAAACCAATTTTTGTTAGGTGAAGCTGACAAGATGGGGGATGTCCCTTGAAAGGGATAGTGGCCCAAGATTGCAGGCCCAAAGTCATACATTTAAATTGGAGTTCGGGACACTTGAAGGTGGGGCCTCCTTGACAAAAAATCGCCCGATCATCATATTGTTGTTGCATGTAACTTAATATGACCTCAAATACTCATCTTTGTTTTATTGTTTCATGAATTATCTTTATAGTGTAAATCAACGGTTTTGAATTAATATCACCTTGCAAAGCAATGGCTATAGCATTAAATATTACATTTTTGAGATATTAAGATGAAAGTGGAGGATTTAATCCTGGTTGTCAATTTCTTGGTATGTATAACTTTCCTTATTTAATCCCTAGACAAACCACATACCCTGAGCATACAAAGCCAAACATGTGCTACAAAATCTCATATGTGGTATTCTAACACCATGCTTTTTTTTTAAGTTTTCTTTAAGGGTGTTGATTTGATCAAATGATAGTTTAGTTTAACCATGACAGGTTTAGAAGTTGACTGTGATTCGTGAAAAATTAATGGAAGTAGGGTTGTGTGTTCGATATGATTGAATGTGCGGCCGCCGGTAGAAGTACACCAGAGGGGCGGGACTTTTGTGTCTGTGCAACATGTCCAAGTTGGAGATCCATGGAATGGTTGGAAGATCCATGTAGTATCCACGTGATTTAGTTTAAGGCTTCTCAAGCCAAAATCTCGAGCTGAAAAGCATAAGTTTATTCAGCACCTTAGGTTCTAAAATAGTCTAGGAAACCCTTGTATAATTCTATAATATGTTTTCACTTCATGTGTTTGAACACACCTAAATTCAATCTAAGATACTCACAGCTCATGATATTTTTTAAGTGGAAAAAGAAAAAAACAACATCATAATATTGAAGTCCAAAAAAGATATATATTATTCATAAGGGCATCATGCTACAACATTAAAAGAAATGAACAATTCAATCCTAAATTTATTTCATTTCATTTTTCATAAGGAGCTAGTCTTAAATATTTTTTCTCCATGGAGACCAACTCCTTCACTATAAAAGAACTTCTTGAAGAGCTCCATGTGATGCGTCTCTAAGCATATAATCAGAAACAAACTCTTCTCATTGGATAGGCTTGGC